AAAAAAAAAAAGAAGGAGAAAGAAGTAAAAATTGGCCGACGCTCTGCTTCATCCTTCTCCCCTTATCTCTTCTGTCTCCGCTGCTGCCCACTAGCCTTCTACCTTTTTCCCGAACCTGCTGCAGCCACTTGACTCCAGCTTCCCATAAATTCCAGTTAATTGCCAGAGGAGAATTATTATCGCGAGCCTCTGATTCATGAAATTATCCCTGCGATACTCGCAGCCCGGATGGTAATTGGTTTAAATGCTTTTCCAGGCGAGCTAAGGCGCGGAGATTAAAATTCGATAACCGGCGCGAAAGCGCGTAGCGACGGGATTCGGTAAATACGAAATTCCTCAAGCTTCGCATTGCTCCTTGAACAACTTCAACGCGTAGATTACTCGTAGATAGTGCGTCATAGCATTGCCACGGCACGATTTCACCGTAGTTTCGATCAGTTCCTCGTCTTTACTTTTCGGAGGACACCGGCGATAAATCTTGTTTGGCGCAGAGGCCGGCAGAACAACGAAAATCGGTGTTGCCGATCGTAAATCTCGTAGAATTTCAACGTAGTTAGACACGGCACGTAGAGGAATTACTGTATGTATGCACAGGGCGGAAAGGAAAGTTTGTCCGTGGCTAACACAAATGAATTCTATGAATTTTTTTGGTCTAGAATTCATCTACGATTTGATGGAAATACATGTGAAGGATCTGCCGAAAAATTGACCTTGATCTTGAATTTGAAGGCTCAAAATTTTTTTTCTACATTGTATTCTTTTCATCACGAAGATCAAACTTTTCCGAGAAACCATACAGTCCTTTCGAAGAATGGGGAAAAAGTTTCTTTATCATTTAACACTGCGTCCTAACAACGACTTTATGATTCTCGATGCGTGGATGTTTATTTTACGTAATTTTCGTATTAGCTTTCACTAACATTTGATTTATCATAGTTGCAGCATCAATGTGCGTCTAAATAGTCAAATGATAAAAGTATAAACATTATATAGATATATCCACGCGTCTAGAACCGTAAAGT